CACAAGCCAAAAGCCAGTGGATGATCGAGTCACCTCGGACTCATCGAGCCAAATTCGGAAGTGCCATAACCTTTCATCTTGCTCGCATCCCATGCTGCTCACCGAGTTTCCTCCAGAACTCCTCTTGAGCCTTCCCAGATACCTACGCTCGATTGAGGATCTTTTATCTCTTTCTTCAACGTGCCGCACGCTCTACAGAACATGTGCAGAGCCAGATCCAAAGATTATACCGGGTCTGGTTGCCGCCTCGGGGCGCATTTTCTTTCGCCCACATCCGCATTTCGTGATTGCTGCCACTGCCCGCCAACTTGGGGACTGGGCAGTCAAACACGACGACCACCGCTACCTGCTAGAAGTGGCCATTCAAGGCGGGGTCGAAAAGCTCTTAGAACTAGCAATCGACGTCGCAGAGCTCACAATGGAAGACATTCGGAAACTACATGCTTTTAAATCCGACGTAATTAACCCGTTAAATCGACGCCTCGACGTGGCGTCGGGGCCAGCGAGTGGAGATCCATGGACGGTGTGCAACGATCCCGAAACGACGTTGCTCTCCTGGGTCATTTACGGGGAGCTGTTCCACCATTCCTTCGAACTCGCCTACTCCCCCCTTCCCGAGCACAAACCACTGAGTAGCGTCACTCGATACAAATGGTTTGTGTATTGCATGCCCGACGTCAACAGTTTCAATTACATGGAATTCGAGGACCAGCCGCCCTTCTTCAAAGAATATGACCAGAAAAAGGATGACAGATTCCAACAGCTGAGCATGTCACAAGCGATGCGCGAGATGTTGAATCGTCTCTTGTGGGAACACGAGCTGCAGTCAACGCCGTCATTCCAGGAGATCCCCGGAGCGTCTCGCGAAGAATTCATCCGCATTGTGATGCATATGGGGATGAAATCTTTGGCTATCCTTGTACCCGGAGGACCCGAGAGGTTGCGGGAGGACTTGGATCGGATCGCAAAGGGGATTATTGCCCTCGAAGTCGGCGGTGGTGGCGACGACACATCCCTGCTCAAGTTTGTCGACGACCGTTGGCTGGGAGCCCCACGCTTTACATTGGAAACTGATGTCGGGTTCTCTCTTTGGGCCAACTGGATGGGCGAGGACGAAGACGAAGACGACTCGAAATTATTGATGGAGGCTATCCGAAGTCCTCCGCAGAGAAAAGTTCCTGTGGAATAGAATGTCGACTCATACTTATACTCACACATACATATAATTCATGGATACTTGCCCTTAAACTATACTATCAATACCCCTCCTATGCAAAAGTCCCTACCTTTGCAAAAGAAAGTTGGACGACTTTGCGACATGAATCCTCCCTCAATTGATTCAAACTCAAGTATGAGGGGAAACTTTCGATGCCCAGGAATCTACCTGTATCTTTTGTAGAATATCTGAAGCGGAATCGAGTCCGGGAGAAAGCGATACTTTCTTTTGCAAAGGTTGGTCATTTTGATCACTCGGCTCGGCAACCTCACTGCGGCCTCAATTCGAACCCAAATCCCTAGAAAATCGGGATCCAACATCTTTCAGTGGTAATGATAACGCCTGTGGATGCCGCGCCCTGTAGGACATGAATTGCGGGTGTGGCATTGCCATCAGACCTGTGTTTGCAAACGAGGGGTTTTGATAGTAGGCTTTATCTAACAGCCAGCGTTCGGCGATCGGTCCGCCCATCGGTGGCAGTGCCGCCAAATTTTACCGCAAACTTGCACCATGACACGGTCTGTGCCGCCGCTACCGCCGCCGAGCAAGAGACGCAAGATTCAAAAGGACTCTGAATTCGTGAAATCCACGCAGAATTTGGAGGAACAGCTCACTTCTGCTGCTGCCGCCAACACCTCGTTGAATCCCCTAGCAGACCTCTTGGATTTGGCATTGACGGCCACCGATGCGCAGGACACTTCAAAAGCCATCTACTCTCTGTACAGGGTGTTTGTTATTATCATATCCGGTGGAAAACTCGGGCCAGGTGGCGACGAAGCAGCTAAAGTTGTGAAAACTTGGCTCTGGGACAGGCTCAATTCCTACGTCGATTTCTTGTGCGGCCTGTTGAAAGACGAAGAAAGACTGCTTCGGGTATTTGCTTATCTTGCGATCCCAGTCCGTACTTATGCCTCTTTCAATAGATTTCGTCCTTGCAGATCTTATTTTCCCTTCAAAAACATCTCTCGTCGTCCGTCAGCTCGTCAGAGTCTCAACCTCAATTCCATGTTTCGCATTTCCGAAAGATCGTATCCAGTTTGCTGTTGTGTCCCCCTTCTGCGCGTTCGCCGCAGAGCAGCAAAAATGTACTGGATCCCGACGTTCTGCATCTATTCCACGAGACGTGGTTCAGTGTCCACGATGACGTGCGGTGGTTCTTCCTCCGCGAGGCGGGGTGCGTTTTTCTGTGACTCCCACCGTTGCCAAACTGATGTTGTGCAGGTCGTTAATTAACATGATATCCATCTCTCAGCATCCCGACCTCCCGGCAAATCTCCTCGCTATCCTAGAGGGCCTCAATACTTTTCCTACGGAGGCGTCTGAGCTCAACGCTTGGTGGGTGTCGGAATTGGGCTCGAAACCCCTAAAGCCGAAACCTTCCAAGAAAGGCGCCGCCGGTGCGGATGACGGGTCGTCAGACGAGGAAGAGGAAAAGGAAGGCGATGAAGATGATTGGCGCAAGTTCTTCGATGAGGATACGACGGCCAAGGACACGAATAAACCCAAAACATCGGGCGCAAGACTGCATAAACTGACGATCCATCAGTCGTTGCATTCGCTGTCCTCACATCGAGTAGTTTTTACCCGTGCATGGCTTGCACTGCTACCGAAACTCTCCGCAGTACGGGACGTTTCGATAAGCAAGAGCCTCTCCCTCCGCGCGCTCAACGTGATGCATCGTGGGGTTATGCCTCACTTGACGCGGCCGGTCCTGATCATGGATTGGGTCGGCGGCAGCGTCGACTATGGTCCGTGTTTTCCTCGTTGGGATGTTTTGTGTTTCTCAATTCGATTCTTTAGGTGGAACCATTGGTCTTCTCGCACTGAACGCCCTCTTCGTGTTGATGAAAGAATACAACTTGTAAGCTCCTTTCGCACTTCTTTGCACAGACATTGAATAATTATTCAGAGATTACCCTTCGTTTTACACGAGACTGTATGCGTTTCTGGATCGAGATGTCCTGCATTCAAAACACCGGGCCAGATTCTTCCGGCTGACGGAATTATTCCTCAGTTCAACGTCTGTTCCTTCTCTTTATTTACGGCCTCCGCATTGATGTGATGTACCCAGCCACATACCAGCGACGCTGCTGGCCTCCTTCATCAAACGCCTCGCCCGCCTCTCACTGTCCGCTCCGCCAGCCGCCGTAATCATGATCATCCCATTCACTTACAACACTCTCAAACGGCACCCCGCCCTCATGGCGATGATCCACCGCCCCGACGCAGACCTCTCGCCCGATCCTTTCGATCCCTCCGAGCCGAACCCGCTACTCACGCACGCGATCGAGAGCTCCCTGTGGGAGCTCAACTCACACCGGGAGCACTACCTCTCTGGCGTGTCGACGCTGACCAAGATCTTCTCCGAGGCTTTTACGAAGCCAGGCTACTCCATGGAGGATTTCTTGGATCATACGTACGGGACGGTGCGTGGATCGTCTTTTTCTATTATGTATCGGTGCTCATGTGCGCCGTAGTTGTTTGACGCGGACGTGAACCGCAAGATCAAGAAGGAGCCACCCGTGGCGGTGGACATGGGGAAGCAGCTGCAATTGTTTTCCGGTGACCCGGAGGTGGTGGATGGGGATGTTGTTTCTGACCTCTGGAGTTTTACTGCGTAGACGATCGTCCTAGATTTTTTGTTTCGGTGCAAGCTTGGTGCAAGCCGTGCAGATCTTGAGTTCGGGACCTGTCGGATCGCTCCAAAGAGTCTAATTCCGGTAATTGCATTCACAATCATCCTCCCAGTCGAAACCATCCCAAACCTCAGGATATTCGTCCGCCAACGCATGCAACCGATTCCAGTCGTCCGGATGCCCCTCGTCCACCTCCAGCCGAAAGATACGACTTTGACAACAGCCGCGGCCGCGGCTTCTCCATCTGCTCCACCCGCACCCTTGAGTCTGCCATGTCCGCTATGAGCCCGTCCGTGGTGCCAACGTCAATAAACTGCAGTCGGGTCCGGGGGGTCTGGCAGATGAGCTGCTTGACGACGTCGTCCGTCGCCAGAGCCACGGGGCACGACGGGCTTGTAGACAGAACGTCTTCAAGGCATGCCGCATGCACTCGGCCGCCTGCGACTCCGACATGTCCGTGCCCGATAACCCGAGGTGGACGAGCTAGCCGGACGACTGGGAGAGGAAGGCGAGGAATTGCGGGTGGGGCCATTCGCCTGGACCGTGGACTTTGAGGGTCTTCAGGCCCGGGAGTTGGACGCACGGGAGGTGCACGAGACCCCCTCCGTCCACCACCAGGGTCTCGAGCGAACGATGGACGATGGCTACGGGCAGGTCCTCTCGGGGCTCAGGATCCAGGTAGAAGGATAACTCTGTGAGCCGCCGTGCGTCGCGGAAAACCGTGAATGCTTCTGAAAGCCCTGTGGATCGGTCGAGTTCGAGGGTCTGCAGCTGGCTGAGCGGAAAGGCCGATATGGGTCCATCAGTACGCGTTCCAGCAGAGGGGCCGACGCGACTACAGCCGCGATCCAAGCCATTGACGCGGTATCTTTTTGCCTCGTTTGACTTGAGCATTAAGGGAAGCCAAGTATTTCTCCTGTCCTCGAAGGAGCTCTTTGATCGTGAACGATTCCTGTGCAGAAGGTGTACCCAGCAAGGCTGTAGTCCATGGCGGGAAGAGGCGTTTGACCGTTGACGTCTCGGAAAGTCACAGGGAGAGTGTCTAATTTTGTATTAGTATTACCTTTGATTCTGCCATGAAGTGAATATTAATCGTTTTTGGTGCATCCATATTAAAAGTCCTGCGACTAAGCAGATGAAAAAAAGCGGACCCTGGCCGGGATTTGAACCCGGGACCCCGCGCAACTGAGAATATAGGGTAACACCTAATACAGCCCAAAGCGCGTATCATTCTACTAGACCACCAGAGCAATTAAGGATCTTCTCCCGCGTAGGATGGTCAGCCTGAATGGCGCCGGAGAATCCCGGATTTACCCGTTCGTCGTTCCTGCACTCCAAAATCAACTTCATGTGAATTGGAGCAGTTGACTCGAGATATGTCGCACGCGAGTTGGAGTATGAACCCGCCTGTAAATGTAATTTTCATGGGCTCGGTTCTTTCCTTTCCCTCATCAAGCAATGTTCTGCGTGTCAGAATTTGGGATTTCGGGGTCGTACAGATCTAGACGTATCTTGGCGACTGGAGCATCACTGCCGAGCTCTCCGAGTCCTTGGCATTGATTACAAGGGAGTTGCCTCTTTTGGAAGCGAGCGTTCATGTATTTGGTCCTGTATGCTCGTAGTTTCTCGCCTTCCTCCCCTCTTTTGCGGATAATCGACTGATCTCGTGCCCGAGGAAACATCATTCGCATGAGGAGCAGCACCGCTCTAACGTACTTTCGATCGTTACTCCTGATGTTGGAGCCATGACGTCATAAAAACTGGCAAGTGAAGTGGTTTCGTTAGCTCTTTCATGGGCTATGGCCTTCTCCGAGTCCTCCTACGTCTACCCTGTTCGCTCTCTACTCAGCGGCACAATCCGGCGTGCTCCAAACACTGACCTAGACGACAATACACTCGATATACAGTCTCGTCCATCCGCCAGCAATCTACCAAAACATTCATCAGAGTCTGGCCAAAATTTACTGTCTCTCGGTCGCAGGAGAACTGTCTCTGACTCCTCGGCGACTCCTCCTGTGACTGGCGCGCAATCTTCGCCCAAAAAATCACGCAGACGCCGTCATCGCTCCAGTGTCGTCTCCCCAAACTTCAGACACTTCCCGGCAGAGAATTCGGTGCCTAATTTGCCGCGGACCTTCACCGCGATGTCGCCCAGTAAAATCGACATACCCCCTGATCTTCTTGCCGTTTTCTCCCCGTCTCCGTCTGTAGCTGATGTCGCCTCTCCTGCCCCAGAGACCAGACCACCTCGGGATCCTCCGTTTGAGCCCCGCGCACGGCCGACACAGGTTCCCGTTAGCGACGATCCATTGCCGCCGGAGGAAGTTCCCGACACCACCCCGTGGAACCTGTCTCAGTATGGCCTCGTCCATCTTCCCCCGCTGCCGTCAACTCCTACGCGTAGCCATGAAGGTACCGCTACCGTCACGTCCACGGAATATCTCAGGACACGTACACGAATTATAGGCCCTTCTTCGAACCAGTCTGGAGTCTCGTCTCCGCGGGTAGCGTCAATAGCCGACGACGCCCAACGCTCCGAGTCCGCCTTGTCGAGTGGCGCGTCTGGATACGGAACCGGATCCGCCTCCGAGGCGGCATCAGGTTCCGTATCCGGCTCGGAAGCCAGCGACCTCTCAGCCCTCCTTACCGTCCGCTTCCAACATGTCCAGGATAAAGACGGGCATCACGTCATAGTGGGTCGAGAAGGAAAGCTTGCACGCTGCGAAGACGAGGTGCGTCTATTTATTTCATCCATTTCAGCTTGCCAATTCCATTTCAGCCAATTCGTACCCCGGGTGCCGTCCAAGGCTTTGGCGTTCTCATCGTCGTTGACGAGTTGGAGGATGTACTCGTTGTCCGTCAAGTCTCAGAGGTGAGCCTTTTCGAGTCCAGGCTTCATTGCTCATTGTAAACGTTTACGCAGAACGCCGAGGAGCTTCTCGGCCTCTCCCCGCACTATCTATTTTCTCTCGACTGTTTCACTGACACACTCCCCGACGCTCAGGCGGGAACGCTGTGGGACAACATTCAGTTCCTCGCTGACTCTGATCTGAACGCACAGGAGGAGGAGGCTTCGCCGCATGTATTTTTGCTCAGCGGGTGGGGTGAGCCCGGCAGCGCCGCTGGGGACGACATGAAGGCGAGCGGGGGGCAACGCTCGTGGACGTGTTGGTGCGCAGTCCATCGTCCCTCGGACCCCACGGGCGGCGACAGCACCGGGCTCATTATCATGGAATTTGAGCTCGAGGTTGACGTTTTGAACCCATTGTACCCGCCCATCACGGACGACGGTACAGGCATCGGGACCCCCGGCTCGTCCTGCAGCGGGAGCGGGAGCCCCAGCGCGCCGAGTACGGAGGACGGCGGTGACTCGTCGACCGACGGCTCAGAGCAGACACTGCTCGCACCGACGCCGCTGACGAGTCCTGATGCCGGCCTCAAAACCGAGGAAGCTACCCTAGCGCCCAAGGTACCCAAGGTCAAAGAGGCGGAGTGGACGCCGAGCGCGGAGGAAATTCTTGAGAGTACCACCTCGCGCGCGAAGCCACTAGTCGCGCTGGAGCGCCTGCGACGTATTGCACGCGGAGACGCCATCGCCAGCAGTTCCACCGCCCCGCCGCCGTCCTCGGAGCCGCGCTCGCGGCGCACGCGGCGTGGAGGTGCGGGCACCACCGGCGGCGTGGGCATGATGGACGTCTTTGCCGTGATGGCGCAGATCAACGAGCAGCTCGGCGACGCGCCGGACCTCGAGGCGTTCCTGCAGGTCGTTGTGGGCGTGATCAAGGACCTGTCGCAGTTCCACCGCGTGCTGGTGTACCAGTTTGACGAGGTGTGGAACGGGCAGGTCGTCGCGGAGCTGGTGGACTGGAGCAAGACGCACAAGCTGTATCGGGGGCTGCATTTTCCGGCGGTTGATATCCCGGCACAGGTGCGTTTTGTGCTCGATCTCCGAGGAAGACAAACTAATCGCATCTTGCGGTAGGCAAGACAGTTATATGCGATTAGTGCGTGGCCTTATCCGCTTTTCGGTCGTTGCTTGAAGCTGATGAATCGACGACCTCAGACAAAGTCCGCCTGCTGTACGACCGCTCGCAGAACACCGCGCGTATCGTTGTACGCAGCAAGGAGGATTTGAAGACGCCTCTGGTGTGTGCTGGCGTAGCTCGTTGAATTCCTGATTTACCTGGTCGTCCTAGAACATGACACATTGTTACTTGCGTGCGATGAGCCCCATACATGTTCAATGTGTGTTTGTCTCTCCGTGTGTCGCGGCGGAATGTCTTATCGGGCTGCAGATCTGAAGAACATGGGGGTGCGGGCGTCGATGTCTGTGGTGCGTTTGTATCTATTTTCTTTCCCGCGTCCTGGCTGACCACCTCTTGCCAGTCAATCATGGCATTCGGCGCCCTGTGGGGGCTCGTGACGTGCCATTCGTACGGCGCGCACGGGATGCGCGTGTCGTTCCCCGTGAGGCAGATGCTGCGCCTGCTCAGCCAGTCGATATCACGCAACATTGAACGACTGAGCTATGCGCAGCGCTTGACGACGCGGAAGCTGGTGCGTGCTATCTGATGGCCCAGATGCTCAATGCATTGACAATGGAGTTTAGATCAACACGATGGCTTCAGATAACCATCCGGTGAGTGCAATCCTTGTAGCAGGAAATAGAAGCTTATTGGTGTTACCGCTGCTGTTTGATCAGACGGGCTACATCGTGAGCAATGCGGACGACTTGCTGGGGCTGTTCGATGCGGACTTTGGCGTGCTTGTCGTACGTCCTGCTCTACTGAGCTCGAGGGTGGTCATAACGATAGACTATAGATTGGTGAGGCTGCAAAGATGCTTGGGCCTAATGACCACGGGCAGGAGATCCTCATCATGGCGGAGTATTTGCGGCTGAAACAGTTCACGTCAGTATTCTTATCCGTCTTTTTTCGCATCACCTTAACCGTGTCCGTAGCACGATCCAGGTTTCGCAGGGTGTCACGATGGACTTTCCGGATCTCACGCTGGCGGCGGGGCTCGAGGTCGTCGCGGGCATGCTCTACGTGCCGCTCTCGAGCGAGGGGAAGGACTTCATTTGCTTCCTGCGCAAGGGGCAGCCTCGACACGTGCACTGGGCGGGAAATCCCAACGCGAAGCAAAGCAGCAAACCCGTGCTCGAGCCGCGCAAGTCGTTTGCGATTTGGTCGGAGACGGTCGCGGGGCGCTGCCGCGCGTGGACGGATGAGCAACTTGAGACTGCCGGTGTGCTCGCGCTGGTGTATGGCAAGGTGAGTCTATATTTAATGTATATATTTTGCGTGGTTTGATGTGCTCGGGGCGCAGTTCATCGAGGTGTGGAGGCAAAAGGAGAACGCGCTCCAGACGACGCGCCTGACGAACCTGCTGCTGTCGAATGCGTCGCACGAAGGTAAGAAGCGCGACTATCTATTGCCACTGGGCTCCCCTGATTTGTACCTCAGTTCGGACGCCGTTGAATCACATCATCAAGTGCGTTTTTTCTCGGCAGGCGATCGTTTTACCTGACTTGCCGGCAGCTACCTCGAGATGGCGCTCAACGGGCCTTTGGACGATGAGACCCGGGACAACCTCAACCGCTCGCACGCCGCGTCCAAAGTGAGATCCTCTTGGTCCCGCCGTTGCATACAGCTGATGTCCCATGATAGAGCCTGTTGTTCACGATCAACGATTTGCTCGTATGTTGACGGGACATTGAAGTCATGTTTGAGATATTCACCGTCTATTTCAGGATCTTACCCGGCTCGAGAGCGGGAACGAGACGTCCTTCAATGAGCCGTTCGACTTGCAGGATGCCATCGAAGACGCGACGCACCTTTACCGCAAAGAGGCCCAACGGCGGAACATCCAATTCATCATGGAGCTCGAGCAGTCGCCAAAGACCGTTGTTGGGGACTCGAAGAAGATACGGACAGTCGTCCAGAATCTCACTGCAAATTCCTGTGCGTATTTCGCGCTCTCCGTGAATCTGACTCGTCTGATAGATCACAGTGAAATACACGGCCGAGGGAACTATAACTGTTGAATGTACTACGTTCGGGGAACCGGAAGGTCTGCGGGGACCTAACCAGACAGCTGTAGAAATCATCGTAGCAGATACCGGTTGCGGTATTGCTCCCGAGAGATTGGGGAGTATATTTAGAGAATTCGAGCAAGTCGAATCGATGGAGCCCAGAGCGGGTGGAGGGGGCGGTGTCGGATTGGGACTTGCAGTCGTCGCAAGAATAGT